CCTTCTGAAGTTTAATAATCACAGTAGGCCATATCATGGTTCTGTTACACCATTTAAGATATTAAAGGCTTTAAGTCCTTAAATTTGATTAAACTGAATGTAGGATTCTTTAAGGACCCACAGTGACCACGATAAATGTACTGCATGTTCAAGCAAAGGAACAAACTCACGATATCGTCCTCGTAGTCGACGTCAGGTTCGGAGGGCGGCGTGCAGAACTGTTTACTCTCCAGTTTGAGCTGAAGCTGTCGAACCTGCCGCCTCAACACCTCCACCTCCTGCTTGTAACTGGCCTCGATCTGCCGCAGCCGCTGCTGCACCGCGTCCACCGCCACCGGCAGGCCGTCGTCGTCCAGGTGCGCCGGAGCCGGAGAGCCGCTGCAGGAGGCCGAGGAATGCGACGGGAGCAGCTGCCGGAAGGACGGTCCCATTGCTAGCGAAGACGCCGCCGAGGAACAAAGCGCGGCGTAGCTTGAGTTCTTCACCGCAGAGAACCAACCCGATTGGATGGGACTTCCAGGAGCACGCAGAGGGTCTCGACGACAACACGGCCCGCCGTTAGCGCTTCCGCCTCGGCCGCGGAGGAGCTTGTTCGCCAGTCGGCGGCCGTGATAGCTGCCATGTTGGATGGCGCCGCCGCAGGCCGACTGGACCAGGCCTTGGACGCTGTCCCATTGGGAACCTAGTAGCGATAGCTCCGTCAGCTGGCTTTGGGAAATCAAACGGCGCGCTGCTTTGGCGTAATCGGCGGGTGGTGGCCGTTCTCTCGTGGGAACCAGTTCGCCGTTTCGTAGCGGCGCTTCGAAAGGAAGGTGCGATTCGACTGCGGTGGCTTTCCCAGAAGGAGGGATCTCGCTTTGCTCTGTTAGCGTCTCCACTGACGCCTCCAATGGCGCAATCGCTTCAGAGTTCACAGATCCGCTAGCGTTTTCTACGTGTGCAAAGCCGTTACAAAGAGGAGGCGGATTTGTGTTTTCTGCAGTCCTGACTAAACAATTTGGAATTTGAGGCAGAGCTTGGTTTATAACCGGAAGGGGCGGGGCTTGATCTAACGCTAAGGGGTGGGGCAAATACGGCAGAGGCTGGGTTGTCAAACAAGGCTCCGCCCTCAAATCGTCCTCATGAGTTTCCTCACACGTCGGCTCAGCGCCGACCGATCCGGCGATTGGTGGGTCCTCGGAAGAACTGTGGCTCTGGATGGCCGCGGGTTGGTTGGACTCCAGCGCCGGACGTCCCTCCTGGCAGTGCTTGTTCAGGTTGGGGTCACTCGAGGTGCGGGTGAGCGTCACGCCGTTCTCACAAGCAGACACCAAGTTGTCCATCGACCGTGTTTTGGGGAGCCTGAGTGAAATAAAACACAAGCTTTCACGCCAGTGTTTACAATGTGCTCCGGTTCACCACAAGAGGGCAGAATCTGAACACACAAAACATCTCAGTAGTATGTGGGTTTATAAAAAAATAACATTTTTATAAATGAGGTTTAAATTTAATATCAATACGTTTTACTTTTCTGTCTTGTAAAGCATACTTAATGTTTTATAAAAATACTTTGCTTTTTGTTTAATAAACATACTGACAGTTAAACATATTTTACAAAAAAGGGCAAGTAAAGCAAATGCAATGTTTTTTTTTAAATTAATGAATTCTTTATAATAATACTTTTTGCATAAAAATATTGACACTTAAAAATATTTTGTGATTTTTTTTTTTAAATGTCAAAAATGTCACCAAAGCAAGTAAAGCAAATGCTTTATAAAAATGTGTTGCTTTTAAAAAATATTGTGCTAAGGAAAATCACTGAAAATATCACCAGGCAAGTAAGGCAAACCTAATGTTTTATAAAAAAAAATATTTAAATGCTTTATTAAATACTTTGTTTTTCTAAAATACTGACACAAAAATATTTTTCTAAAGAACAATTTTTAAATGTCACCAGAGCAAGTAAAGCAAACTTAATGTTTTATAAAAATTAAATATTATTTACTGTTTTATAAAAAAATTATTTAATGCTTTATAAAAATACTTTATTTTTGTTTAATAAAAATTCTGACAGTTAAGAAATATTTGGCTTAAAAAAATGAAAATGTTGCCTGGGCAAGTAAAGCAAACTTAATGTTTTATTGAATTAAAAATAAAAAGCATTATTTAATGTTTTATAAAAAAAATATTTAATGCATTACAACAATCCTTTGATTTTTGTTTAATAAAAATATTGACACCTAATATTTAGCAAAAAAAAAAAAAAAAAACATATTGAGGGCAAGTAAAATCAGCAG